CCTTCCCTAAAGTATGAGACACCATAAGAAACACAATCATTTTGTGGAAATGTAGAACTGTTCTTGACAATGAATATATTTTTATGTAAAAAAAAAAAAGCCCATTCTGGGTTACTTGCTAAATGGTATTTTAACTGCATTTTCTCCTGTTGTGGTTCCTATCTCTAATGTACAATTTCATGTGAATTAAATGACTAAAAACCTGCCCTTTGTTCTGGAAGTTGTTTAAAGAATATAATATGTAAGGAATATTATACTGTATATTTTAGATACTACAAAGTCAATACAAAGAAAGGGAAAAAAAGCACATAAAGCCTGACTTCTGGATCCCCCCCCCAATTATTTTACCAGGAATGCATTTTCCCCCAATATTGCATTGCTCTGAGTTCCTGCTCTCTCTTCATTTTGGACTCTCACTAATGTCTTTATCCTGTAGTTTTCAGAATTATCCTGCTGACAGAATTCCGAATGCCTTCACTCACATTTCTTTCCAACTTTCCATTAGGTTGGAAAGAATAATAAGCTAGAGGAAGCATGTTGAGCATTGCTTTGGGCATTTTTTCTTTAATAAAAATTCTGCTTTAGAGCAGCCCACTCTAGGGGGCTAAGAAAAGAATTATTTCTTGAATGATATTGACCTGTCCCATGAGAATAGGTTTATTTTCAAACTGATTTCTTTTGGCCACTTTCTACTCTCCCCATTTGATTGCATTTAATTTCAGTTTCGGAGGGTTATCCCACTGACAGATGGATAGAGGCCTGAACCTTATAGATTTTTTTTTTTTTTTGCATCTCCAATGTTGCACTACAAGCTCTGCCCTTATTGTTCATGCATGTTCATAATGAAGAGGTAGATGTTTTTGATGAGGAAACACTATTTTTCAGCATTCTTCCCTCTCTGCACTCTACCAATGCTGCAGAATATTGTTCTATAGTACGTGAGGTGTTTTTCCAAATTTCTTATATAGTTTATCTATTTAATACATTAAAGCATAAATGAACTGTTCCTTTTTCTGTTCTGAATGAAATACGATTTATCTTGGGGTTAGGTGATTCATGACATTGTACCTTGTGAATTGAGCAGTAATATCCATAGAAATAGTGGAAATTCTTACAGTATTTGATGTTTTGGCTCAGCTGCAAAAATCCAGGGATCTTTTCAAGAGTTGCCTTTGTAGAACCAACCAATAAGTGGTCCAATAGAACTAATGACAAAGCATTGCTGAAAACTGAACAGTTCTTTGCTACTTAAAATAAGCCTGCCTACCTAATAAGCAGTCTTCTTTAAAACCATTCTTCTTCCAAGAAAGGTAAAGTAGTGATGACTGAACTATTTTTTAAAACAGCATGTAGGCCCTAATAGGGGAACCCAAGCAGAAAATATAAAGTGACCTTTTCCCATGTCTTCAGATACTGTGTTTTCAGATAGCCTTTTTATTAGGCTAGGAAAAAATGGCCAATAGATTAAGGATCTCTCTCTCTTTCACATACCCATACTTTTTCTAATTATGAAGGCAGAAAGAGTGGGTTGATTTCTGTTTTATTTAATAATTGAACCGAATAAAGTACTCAAATCTACCACATCCCTTGCCTTTTTAAAGATATTTGATATAGCATTGAAGGCCTGTTTTTCTAGGATTAATGGAGCAAATGCATTCCACACCTGACATTTTTTGGAAATGTGCCCAGCTGTTTTCAATTATTGTAGTGCACTGACTTCCTCGCTCCACATTCTGAAATTTATTGGTCATTTTATTCTTAAATATCTCAGCAGCAGATATTGACATTAGTCCAATAAACTCTACATTTAATCAGATTTTTATCAATAGGGCAAAGCATGGTATCTAGATACAGTATAGCAAAGCATAACACAGGAAAGGTAACATATGCCTTCCAGCATAATCCTACTCAAAATAAAGGGCAATTAAATTGAATGGAGTTCTCATGACTTTAATGGAGTTCAGACTTTAAGCTTAAAAACTAATTACCAAATTCAACTTGAAACATGATTATATTAAGATTCCACAGCAGAGTCTATACAAGAAAAAAGGCTATATCTTCAGAAACCTATTTTTATACAATATTTTTAAAGCATTTTGGAACATACTCCATTAGAATGGAAACATGAACTTCCTAGATCTGTTTCAAAATAGGGGGAAACAGTTGTGAATTTCAGCTGTAATATTAAGAAGAAAATGTCTGGATTTTTTTTTTTAAATCCAGGCTCTTAACATTTCTTCTGTGTTTAGGAAAGAGTATTTTATTGCTGATTTGAAATAGTGGAGAATCCATAGAGAGGGGGATTTTGAGACATGACCTTCAGTAGCAATAATCTATTCTAAACCAAATGAGGACCATTTCTCTGCATGTGATGCAGACTAGAAGAAGAGGGCTCAATATCACTCCAGTCTTATAGCAAATCAATTTCTCTTTGTTATGTCAGCTTTTCAATTCCATGTGCATGTTTTAAAATTTTTGAAGATACAGTGCAGGAGATTTGTTGGGCAGGGATATTAAACTATTATGATTTCTGTTCATTTGCTTAAAAGATGCAGAATCAGGATGACCTCTGGAGTCACTATATGCTTTTACATTTCTACAACAAGAGATCAGCATTACAACAAGCAAAGAAGTGTCCTTATAATTCATTTCTGTTTTTGTGTTTGGATTCATAACTTTTAAGAGATTCTGTGGAAAATAACTCTGCCAGAAAATTTAAAGGACATTCAAAGGCAGCTTGATGAGCTCAACCATATGGGTGATTCATATAGCTAAAATATTGTTTGGACCATTTTTAAGGGTTGTATCTTTTCTGAACTATTCTTTTCCAGAGGAAGATTCGGAGTTACCTGAATGCTGAGATTATCTGTTGTTAAGGACACACCTTTGGCTCATTCAATTATTATTATGGAAACTATTTACTTTAAGAATGACCATCTTCAGGTCAACATTTAATAAATAACTGATTGAAAATCATGTCATTGAAATGATCTGCTATATCTGATCAGAAGGTCTCTATTCTTAAACTAAATGATTTTAATAATAATAATTTAATATCCACCATCTACTTCAGGATAGCTATCCTTGAACTAAACAATGCTAAAATTCTGAGATTCTTTTATGGATCTTTTTAATTATATTGAAGATAATTATATTGATTATATATATTATATTGAAGATAATTAATTATATTGAAGATTAACAATGGCAGTATTTATTTGCTACATTTCTATAATGTCGTATTCCCATAGGACTCGTGACAAAATGTTTCTATTATCGCTGATGCTGCCTTTTTTTGACATTATCACTGTTTTGCATTTGCTTTCTTATGGTTTCATTACAATTCATTCACATCTTAGTATATTATTTAAGATTTTATAAATTGCACAATCCACAAATTAAATCTTAGGACAATATATACAGTAAACAATTTTGAGAACTGCTACAAACATGTATGTAATACAGTAAATCTGCTGTAGTGTATACACACATGTATACCCAGAGAGAGTGGAGGTGGGGAGGAATCAGGAAAAGAGTGGGCTAAATGACAGGATATAAATGAGAATAAAGAAATAAATTAGCTAGCTAGCTAATTGACATGCTGAGTGGGAATTCTGGAAGTTGCAGATCTAATGCTTCTACAAAATGCTAGGATGGAGAAAATAGGCATAAGTCAATAACCCCGGATACAGTACAATGAAGTTACATCAAATTTTAATATTAGGTACAGAACAATTATATGTGCAGATATTACTCCATATTAAAATCTACCTTTAGGGAAAACTAACATGTTTGGGAAGAGCTATAACTCAGCTTTTTTGTTCAAATACCGTGTTCTGTATAACTGTAAAACTAAAAAATCTGTAAATTTATCTTGGAATATAAATCCTTTTCAACTCAGTGATGCTTGTTCAAAGTACACATGTATAAGATTATATTTGCATGCAGAATATTCTGACAAATTACTCCCACTTTATAAAGCCTTTAAATTAAACCACTTATGCATATTAGAATTCAAATGATTTACAATAAAGCATGATTACAATTTTTTGATTCATACACCAAAGAATCAAGATGCATATTCTTTAAGCCAATCAAGCTAGGCCTGTACATCAATACAATTATTTAGTATAATTTTAAAGTACCTTAGCCTATGCTGCATTATAAATGCCTTTCTTGCAGAAACTGTTCAAAATTTTGTTTCAGGAGCAACACCTTCAAAGTGGGCATCTTGTTTATTTTGGTTCAAAGGAATATAAGTACATGCCAAAATAGGGTGCATTTGAATCTAGACCACTGTTGCTATTTTAAAGCTGTATTTTACCTTAATCTATTTCATAAAAAGCGAATCTTAATATGCAAAACTGCACGTGCTTTGTATTGTGAAATATGACTTATAACAATGGACACTACATATAGTTCTCAGTTAATGAAGGCAATTGGGACTGGAATGTCCATTGATAAGTGACATAGTCATAAAGTCATTTAGCAACAGCACTTCCAGGTTGTTGTTGTTGTTAAACAAATCCCACACCTCATAAAGTGAGGACATCACATGGTCACCATTCAGCACCATTGTAAATTTGAATATACACTAAAAAAACTGGTCATTAAATTAGGACCACCTCTATATAGTTATCATTTTTATAACTGTTACATATGTATAACTTGTTTAAATAATCTCTTGATATATTATAGATGCACATAGCACATTTATGATCATATATACCAATCAAAATTAGAAATTGTATATTGATACAGAAAGGAAGGAAAGTACGCAAGAATGTTCTTTTATTATTTTTCAGAGGAACAAATCAACTACAATAATTATGTAACAACTTCTGAAGAGTATATTTTGATTTATAATCACATAAGTATATTCTTTCATCTATAGAAGAGAAGTATGGTGTCTTTAGAGGACAGAGGAAATATAAGAGAAGAAATCTCCAAAAATTTATAAAAACAGTCTGAATTATAATTTTTAAAGGAAGTATCAAGAATTAAATTCATGTTTTTAACAAAAGTTTATGTTTTAAACAACAGCAAGAATAAAAACACTATTTCAAAACATTTGTGTAGTGTGAACAAATATTAGGGTTTTTTAAATCCCATTAGGAAATAGCAAAGAAACCACAATTAATGACATGCAAGGACGATTGAATATATGCTTTAGAGTAAAAGTGGAAAACTCCTGTTGCACCTGCAGTCCTTCACATTTTCCTGTCATTACTGCCTTAGATAGTTGTTGGCAGATCACCATTATGTTTACAGTTTTATTATAATTATAATTCCTGGTGTAAATTGAATGGTAAGCCAGGATTTGAACAAAATAAAACAGAATCCTATTTCATTCTTCCTCTTAATGCAGATAATTAGAATTGTATATCTGCACCTAGCACTTCCTGGTTTTCTTTCTGCTGAGATCTAGATCTAAACTACAGTTAGCATTGCATATGAACAATAGCAATCCGTTTGGTCATACTAATTATACATTCAGAACATAAAAGTTATTCTGGAGGTTATTGCCTGTATTGTTTCCATTATTTTCAATGCAAATAATTCATAAGAATGTGTATTATTTGCCCAGAGAATATCTGTTATTGGCAGCTTAAAAATTTAATCAGTAATTCTAATGTACACATAGAACAACTATGTTGTATGAGTTGGATTCTATGCACGAATTGGGGACTTATTTGTCTGTTTGAATGTGTATGGTTTCTTGACTGCTGTGGGGGAAAAATTGGACCCTGGTCATTTTCTAATCATAAATTATTCAATCATGAAACAGGAAAAGCACAATATTAATTAAATACTTCAAGTCTTAAATGAAAACTCCATCACCATCCTTTCATGGTTTAGTTTCAACAAACCTGCTGTTTATTTTCTCTTTTGCATCTTTTTTCTACTTTGATGATTTACTGGTTCTTGTTTCTTAGCTTTTGCATAACTTTGTTCTTTTTCCTATCAATGTAATATATTAAGCATTAAAGTAAATTATATTTACATTTAAGAAAACCAAAATTGCTATAACAAATGTCATCTCTGTTTGTTACTAATTTATGTTAAAATGTATATATGATATACCAATCATTGTTGGCTGATTACCATTCATTTGTCTATCAAAAGCTATGATTTAAAAAGTAATCAAATGGACATGTCAAAGAAGTGAATTTCATTAGGCTGATAGTGAGGCACATTTGCACGGGTGATATGAAGCTGGTCTACTGTCATCCCATTTAATTTATGTATGTCAAAATAGTTCTGGGAACAGTAATATGATTTAAAGATGAATTATAAACAAAAAAAGGATTTTATCCCTATTTAAATCTATGAATTTATTGAGCAAAAAAAAAGAGTGGAAAGATAAAAAAAGAAAAGACAGTGCTGACCAAGATTTACGAAACTGGATTGATAACATATTTTCATTTCCTTCTTATGAACTGGCTCTTTATTCATGTAATGGAAAGTCTGATCAACATTATTTTGTGAGCTCAAGGCTTAAAGCTATATGCTTGATTTTTTTTTTAAAAAAAGAATCCTTTTTGTTGTTTGTGTGTAATTCCCCCCCTTTTGTATATAAATAAAAAACACAAAATCAGAATATGGAACAGGGAATATGAATAAGAATATTTGTGAACAACTATTTATAAAAATTTTACAGCTATTTTTCAATTAGTCTTATTTTAATCTATTTTATTTCATTCATTACTACTATGCATAATAATATTCACAATGGACTGGTTGATCCAAAATGATGTGGTTGCTTTTCTTGGAAAAATAGCTTAGTAAAAGATTTTGAGACTTATATTTGCAAAATTGTTTTCTGGACCTACTTCTTTCTGGGTTTCTCTCAGGGTATGAAGCTGAGACTTCTTTGTTTATCTCAAAAGATGACCTATATAGAAGAAGGAATGTAATTCTGCTAGTTCTATTGGACATGTTGGCATCTTTTGTTATGGTCAAATATGATAACTTGAGCTGTCTGGTTGGGCTGGGCATTGGGGTAATTATTTTGCAGTGCCCCTAGTCTTTCTTGTTGAGACTTGAAAAGAAGGTGGTTCTGGAGAATAATGATTCAATATCTAGGCCAGTAATTAATACTATTCCACAGGATTCTTGTCTGTTTATAATTTAGCATTTGCATGGAACTTCCAGGGATGATAACCCATAATTCTAGATATGATGCCATCAATACACCAATAAGAACTAACTCTGCTATTCCCTACTCTCTAATTTGAAGGAACCAATCAGTACCATTGATCACTACATAATTTGAATTGGAAAACAATTTGAAATTTAATGCATAGAAGACACAGGTGGTCCCTGGGTAAGGAGAAAGCTGAATTCCCAAAATGACATGTCTCCCCTTCCCTGAACTGCGAGATTGTGGGTGGTAACTGTGATGTGGGGCATGTCTTGTACAATTTGGCTTCCTGTGGCAGATGAAGTAAAGTGACAGTTATCTATGACTTGCTGACAGCCTTCTTGATGAATGCAGTTGCTTTATCTCTCTCTCTTTCTGTATCTTTATTATTAATATTATATAGCTATAGCTTTTAAAACAATGTAGACTTCAATTCAGTATAAAACTGCATAATGCTAATATTATTTTCCAAATAGTTTTATAAATTTGGAATTTGGAATATCAATGACTTAATAAAGAGTACATTTGAAAAACAAAATTGATCTAAAATGGTTATATATTTGAAGTTTACACTAAAATTCAAAAGTATATATAATATTAATCATTATATAGTTAAATGAATTATCCTGGTCATTCATTCTTATGCAACATGAAATAGTTTCTTTAGGATCAGCAATAGAAATCTGGAGAGCCATTTGCCATTCCCCAGATTCTACAACTGCAGTGGATTACAAACATTTTGAACAATCTTGCAGCTCTGCTGTTTATCATCTTGGTTGATGCTATTCAGAGCTGAAATATCTACAAGATACAGTCTGCCATTTCTAGTTTAAAATATTCAATTCTACAACCTAACTGTTTTTAGGACATCAGCTATTAGACTACATATTCATACCAGTATCAATTCATTTCATGTTGATTTTCAAACAAAAGATACTCCTAACAGTCACTTTTTCTGTTTCTGTTTGTCTCTATATTAGACAATAGAGATTCAGAGAAAATTGGAGAAGTTCATAATTTTTCCAAGTTCCTAGGCCTAATATTGATTGTGAATATTAAAGGGTTTTAAGTTGCCCTGAACTTTTCTTCTTTGAAAGATTGATAATGGAAGTTAATGTATCTTAAAATTAAAAAGTGTACTGCATGTTATAATATTTTAAAGAGCCTTTATGAGAATTATACAAATTTCAAAGGTTATATCAACTAATATTTTCTGCCATCTAATGTCATATAGTTCCTATTAAATATTCTTATTAAAGTCAGTTTCAAAGTTTTATTCATTTGTAACCTATAAAAGGAACTACATGAAAGGTAATAAAAGGTTAATCTTATATCTTGTTATTTCACAAATCAATACTTTTAATTTTAAAAGCTCAGAGATTTTCATGATATACAGACCAGGAAGTTTTCTATCCTGGTGCTCACTGCCAATGCATTATCAATATCTGGTTCAGGCCAATTTTTAAAGAAAAATCAATACATAACTTTTCTGCATAGCTCAGAATTTCTCTTTTTATGACCCTGTAATCCTTTAATTCGGGATACAGGGACAACGGGATGGAACTGAGTGCTTACTGGCCGGATGCCCTCCCTGTTGCCTTGGAGCTGCAACAGATTTCTTTGAATCCTAGTAGAGAAACATCTGCTGCTACTTAGGATTGAACTTCCAACCTTTCGTGTGGGAGCTGAGAGTCCTCACCATTAGGCCACCACACCCACTCTCTGTATATCTCAGATCTGATTTAATTAATTGACTTCATACATATAGACCACATAAACAATTTCATATGAAAAGGCAATAGGTGTCATGAGAAATTTCTGGTTAAGCATGAGGAGTAACATACTAAAAGTATATGCATGCAATTTGGCAGTCACATGCTTGCTCTATGCTTTTCAATATTACTATGTGTAAATCAGTACCATGAAAAGCTCCTAGCTGTCATGTTATGCACATCTATGTTATTTACAATACCTGCACATGAGGTCTTGAGGCCTTAGGGATGTCTTGATAGGACACTGATTCTTTCCAATCTCTTTTTCTCTTGGATTTATTGGATATTGTCAGCCTTTCGAATCCTGGACTGGTTAATCTGTAGGCATTTGTTTTTGTTTCCTTCATTGGATTTTGTATCTGATTTTGAAATATTCTGAGAGCTCCTTCAGCTATTTCCTCAGCTTTCTTTGACCTGAGAAGATTCTGACCTGGACTGAGATGTGCAGGATTATTCTGACAGATGCTTGCTGTGTGATGCTTTGATTGGTTATCAGCAGATATCAAAGAAAAATGTAGCTTTGTAGCTTTGGTTTTATTGGAATGTTTGGTTAAAACTGTTCCACTAGGTAAAGGGAGGTTTAATAGATACCCAACATCTTTATTTTCTTCTTTTATTATAAATTGGTTAGCTCTAATATTTTTTCTTACCTTCTGAGAAACGCTTTTATTTGTAACATTTTGAAATGATGTATTAGGTAGTGATTTGTTAATCTGATCTGCAATTGGGCTGAATACAGCCGATTTAGCAATTGCATGATCTGTTACTAGTTTTGGTAAATCTTTTGAAACATGTTTTCTTTTCTTTTCATGAATTCTTTTAGTGAACTGCCTATCCGCTTGCAGTAACTTTCCTTTGAAAATGGGTATGATCCTCTTGGTGTTATTTGATTTCAATGTTGAACCAGAATGTTCTGATATTTTCCACTGTTGTCCAATATTGTTTTTGTCTTCTACTCCTGCATGTTCATCATCTGCAGAAGTATATAATAGTTAAAGAAAATATTTCAGATGGTTGACTTTAAGCTCCACCTTGTGGCTATTATTTATAGTACATGCTTAAAGTTTGAAATACCTTTCTTTGGGATTACTTGAGTCAAAGGTACCTTGCAGTTCCTTCCTACAGTAAGGTTGGCTGGTTTAGAGTTTACTTTCTAAAACATGGGAACCAAATAGAACAATTTAAATCACATTACACATCACTAATTAATTTTATATATAATTGTAAATATTTTGGAATTAACAATTATAACTGAGTAATGCAATGGAAAATTTAATTTTCTAGATATTAGTAACACATAAAATACTATAATCTTCTCATAAAAAGTGACACTGGATTAAAAAAAATCCATTCAAATTGATCTGTATGTTTTATTAAGAGACTGAAAGTTAACAATAATAAGATAGTCTTTGAATTACAACCATTCATTCAATGACCGTTTGCAAAGGCGGTGTTGAATGAAAGAAACGTACGGCTGTTCCTCAAAGTTCTGGCCATTACACTGCCTTCATGATCAGATGAACAAAATGTGGATGCTTGGCAACCAGTTCATATTTATGGCAGGCTGCATAGTTCTGCTGTCATTGCCAATTTGCAATCTTCCCTGCTGGCTTCCCACAGGCAAAATCAATGGGGAAGCCAGTTAGGAAGGTTCCAAGTTGCTTGAGTAAGTTTTCTTCCTGGGGCCTTTTGTTTAGTCCCTCTTTCCCGGCTTCACTCATCCTGCACCATTTTTCCCTCACCTCCCTGCACTTGCACACATGTGTGCTCCCTAGTCCCGCACTGACGTTTGCTCTCTTCTTCCTCCCACCTCTGATGAGGCGTGCCTGGCCTGGCCAGCTTGTGGCTAGGCTTTGTGGTGCACTGAAGTACAGGGGCTGTATTTTGCAGGCTTCATACTTTGGAAAAGAAGAAAGGAAAGGAAATAGCAGCTTTAACCCATAGCTTGCCCAAAGAACTGTTTGCATAGAGATCCTAGATAGGGCTGGGGCTGGCTACATGCTGGGGGGAAAAAGAGAAAGGGAAAAGCAACCAAAAGCATGGAAGCAGAGGGCTAAAAGGGCATGGATGGAAAGAAAATAGGGTTGCTGCAATGTCCACACCTTCAGGCACAGGTCCAAAAACCCTTCTTTCAAAACTGGTGTAATTTCGAATGATCCCTGAATTAATGGTTGAAGTCAAGGACTATCTATAATTCATTCTAGCTTCAGTGCATTTGCTGGTATCAGCACTTTTCATATAAAGCTATATTACCAAAAGTAAGATATAGAGGAATTTTCACATAACACCTGGCAGCTATATCATAAAAAACATATTTTCTAAGATGAATTATCTTGTTTCTGCCATATAATAAAAATACTACTTTTAAACATTTCTGAATAAGATAACAGAGTAAATTAAACCTCGTTAGCCTTGTTCAGATTGAATGCATTTATGTTTTCATCTCAGATTTCAGCACGGTTAGTACCTGACTGGGCATGATACAACATCTGTTTTCAAATTAGAAATGGGACTAGATGCCATCTACATACTGACGCCTTCAGTATCAATTCCATTGTTCATTACTGCTTGCTGTGATGAATTTCTTTCAGAAATATCTAGAATACTTTGTTAACTAAAGCCAGATGGGAAACTAGTTATATTCCCTTCCTCCCTGGAAGATTTTCAGATTTTAAAATGATGTAATCAAATTACATCTCTCATTCAGAAAATGTCAGATGTAGGGAGCTTGTTTTTATTTTAATGCCAGAAAGAGTACTCATTGCCTTTGAACTGAAAAAAAAAAGGAACAGAGGCATAATCTGCCTTCAATTACTAGCCAAAGATAGTACAGACACTTAAATGCTTCTTTTCATGTTTCCAACTTTCTTTTTTCTTTCTTTTCCATCACTGTAACATGGTGAGAAGATTATTTTATTTTTTAATGTTTGAGTAGGGACCTTGGAGGTCTTCTAGTCCAACCCCCTGCTCAGGCAGGAAACCCTATAATATCAATTCAGACAAATGGTTGTCCAATCTCTTTTTTAAAACTTCCAGTGATGGAGCACCTACAACTTCTGAAGCAAAGCTGTTCCATTCTGTTAACATATCACTGGAAAAAAAATGTTAGGCAATGTATGCCTTCTAATAACTAAATCAACAGCAAGAGCCATCTTGGTTTACTATATTTCATATTTATACAATATAGATTTTAAAAATGGATGGAAAATAAAATATAAGAATAGAAAATTGTCTCCTGTTTTGTAAGCACAAACTTTTAGACAAAGCCCATATATAAAACCTCAAAGCTACATCTGTAGGGAACAGGCAGTGCTATGCTGCAATGTGATCAACAGCTAATAGGTACAAGCAAACCCAAGTGATTTAAATTACAATTCAACTGCAGTTTTTAGAAATTACTGAGTATCTAGCCTTATTATGGAACATCTAAAAAATAAAAATAAGCAGTTTTGTCAGCTCTTCCTCCCTTATTTCTATTACTCAAGACAACTTAGATTAGACTTGTGGCTGAGTACTATCAAATAATAATATTGATATAAATCTCCATCTGGAAGTAATTAGTACATAATTCTGCAAGGAAGTCATTTTTATTTTATTTTTTATTATTCAGGTTTCTATAGAAAAATAAGTGTCATAGTAATCAGAATTTGCATTTAGCTAGTCCTTAAGGAATCGTTTTAGCTATTTATGGATATACCAGCTACATCGGTTTTTATCACAGCAAAAACACTGTGTCTGCTCTTAGTGTTGATTATCACACTTTAGCTGCCTTCTAAGTTATCATAATAAAGCATTAAAAAGATATATTGAGAAAAATGAAGATAATTGACTATGTCAATGTTTAACCAAGTATATGCCAATAAATGATACACACATACCCAGTCACATATATAGTATTACCTGAACAGATGCCGTTATAAAATTGTTTGTAGTACACACTGCTTTCTGTGTCATCTTAAAAGGAAATCCACATATATCAGGAATGGAAGTCCTCAGATCAGTAATAAAAGAATCTAAAATAGCTTCTATATCTGCTCTAGGAAAGTACTGTATGGGCTGACTTCTGATGCAACTGGAAGGATATCTGAATCAGTATTAAGGGATGAAATAAATAATTTGACAAATTGATATAAAAAAGCATCAGGTTTACCATAGATACAATGGCTTGAACGATAGGGATTCGTTAAAATAAAGGGAGTGAGTAAAATCTACTACAAGTACTTTCTGTACAAAGTCAGTGAAATGAATGAGAACTTCAGAAAAACTTGCTCATGTTTCAATTGTTTCAGCAAAGTCTGTTTGGAGATAAACTCATTATTTGATGATTAAGTTTAAATGTTGGTGTTGGAGGAAGGGAAATAAGAGTTTATAGGTTTTGGAGGCTCTAAGGATCCACTGGTACAGCAAGATTTGCTAGGTGAAGTTGTGTGGTTTATGTGTAATTGAGAGACTGGGACAATAAGAGAACAAGAAGAATTTGGAATGAAGTTGAGAAGAGATGGCAGTGGTAATACTGTTCTGTGGTGGGGATGAATTGTTCAGTCAGAGTTTAGCTGGCTGCAATTCGGTAGATCTCAGCAACACTGGCAGCAACATTGTAATGAGTAAATATAGCAGCTGTTATTGCTAGGCTTATTCACTCAACATTGGTGAGGAGCGGAGCCCTGATGGATAGCTCTGGTAGTAGCAATGGAACTAGTAGAAGATCAGAGTGAAGCATGCACTGCACTAAAGACTGTAGTCTGGAGCTAGAATGGCAGAAGTGACAATGGAAGGATATCTGTGATACTTCCATCTTCTAGGCATTCAACAACAATGGAGGAAGTAATGAAGCCAAGGAGAGCAGTGTATTATTGTTGTTGTTGTCATTTACACAACAATGTGAAATCATAGTTGGTCCTCATACACATTGGGTTTTTCACAAGAACCTACATTGTCAGTATGATAATGACACCTACGAGTATCAGGACATTCACTGTTGAATAACATCAACCATGGACTAGTTAAAAATGTGCTTGGTAAAAAATACATTGAAAGAATGAGAAAACCGCTAAAGGCAAAATTGAACAGTGGAAACACCATCAATGCCTGGGTCCTATCTTTGATACAATACACTGCTGGAATTATTAAGTGGACACAAACCAATTTGGACACTTTGGACCAAAAAGCACAAAAACTGATGACTATTCACTATGCATTATTTCTCTGTTGTGGTATTGATAGATTATACCTGCCCTGTAGAAATGGAGGCAGAGATTTAGAAGTCAAACAAATGGTCAAAGAAAAAAAGTGTGAACTGAGTAATTATGTAAAGACAGCCAAGAAGAAGATTGATGTAAGTTAAAAATTTGAACTTATGAATATACAGGAACTAGAAGCCCTGGAGCACAATGGGCATAAACTGTTACAAGTACATTAAACAGTTAAAGAAGAAAAACGAACATTGGAAGAATATCTGAAGGCAGGTAAAGAAGATGCAATGAAATCAGTAAATAGAAGTAGAATGACTGCACAGGAAAGCAATATAGAATAGAATAAAATTCTTTATTGGCTAAGTGTGATTGGACACACAAGGAATTTGTCTTGGTGCAAATGCTCATATAGTATCAATAGTAATACATGCCTTGGGGAAAAAAATCCTCAAATATCTGAAGCACCACACCATCACATCATCAACAATGATAAAGTCACCGTCAACCAATTGCCAAAGATAATTTTACTTGAAATATCTTACATCCTGCAATGATACCTTTAGTATAATTAAACAACATATCCCTAGTCTAGGTTTTTAGGAAGTACTTGCTAGGTGGACAAAAATGCCAAATGTAATGTAAACTTCTGGCTAACTGTGCAACTGCCTATAACTAATGGCAAATCACTAGATACAGATGAAGTAGGGCATGAAGCCTACAGCCATACAGCCTTGTCAGGGTTAAGTCAAAGTTAATTGTTTGTATTCAGACTTGTATACTCTAAATAAATTTTGAAGCCTTTTGCAGAATTTTCCAGTTTATTTGGAAACTGACCATGATGCGGAAAGTTGGAAAAAATAAATAAATGGTTGGTATTTACACTTCACTATCTTCTGAAGAAAAATGGCTGCAGATGGGTTTCTATATATGAAAACACAAAATGTAGATAATCTACAATTAGAGCACAGAATTCTGCTTTAAGAAACTCAGTTTACAGTATATTGGGGAAAAAAATGGAACATGCATTGATTTGTTTTACATTTATCTCATCAAATGAGAGATGACTGTGACTATGAAAGTTTATTTTTAATGTGGTAAGAGACAAAAATTTATTTAACTTTACAACTAATATTCAGTAAGGGAGTATTTTAATAGCATATCTTCATATTATAATCTTGGCTCATGTTCCTAAGAAGGCCCCACATGAAAATAAATAAAACATATAAAAGATACGTAAATAATTGTTCTCCTATTCGTTTGAAATAAATGCTGAAATACATCTGTGAATCCTCTGGCAGAAGGTAGCCATACTAAAGATAAAATATATACATAAGATAATACATAATAATAATTTTGTCAATTGATTTATTATTTATAATTGAATACACACACACACACACACACACATATATACATATACACACACATACACACACACACACACAAGTATACCCTTACCAGATTTTCCCAATGTAACTGTAAATCACTGTATGAATGAAACGGAGAATCATGCGGAATTAAATGACTGATACTCATTATCTGACCCATTTTCATACTGGCAGAGATACAAAAAGAATATTAGAAAATTAGTATTAAGCAGTAGAAACCATAATTATGTAACAGATATTTTGAACTAGGTTTGAAAGATGTGGACTTCTATTACTCTAAAATGAGCTAAGCAGAAACTGAATTTATCGTATTGCATTTATTTAATGCAATATAGTCATAAGGAGAAAA